CTCCGGGAGGAAAACTACAAACCCCAGAGTGCAACGCGCGCACGGCAGCCCGGGGAGGGGCGTGGCTGCGCGGGGCATGCTGGGACTTGTAGGCGCTGGGTTGGCTGCCATCCCATCTCCACCACCTCCGTCCTTCTGTCCGGGGGCGTCGTCGCTCTGACATGGCGCCCGCCCACGTCACCCTCAGGCAGGGCGGCAGGGAGAAGCCCCGCTGCGCCGCAGGGCACTGCTACCCTCCTCTGCTGCCCCATGACTGGCTTGTGGCCTGCAACCTTTTATAAATATATATGTTCATAAGCAGAGCGCCAAAGATATATACAAATATATTTATAAAACACAACAGTTGATGCCTGAGAGCAAGCACCATCCCACACATCACAGGCTGAGGAAGATGGCGATGCCCCATCTGGGAGCCTCTCTGGTGGGCACAGAGCGGTGCTGGGTCCCTCTCATTCCTCACGGGAAATTCCCCTCGCACCTTCTCACAAAAAGACGTGCTCGCAAGGCCCGAATATTCACTGTTTCCTCCTTTATAGGTACATTAGGTGTTTCTGGAAACGCAGGTTTGCGTCAGGGCATTGGGGCGGCCAGCAGCAGCTGGCCAGATCTCAAGGAAAGCCTGACTCGGTCATGGGACAGATTGGGTAAGAGCAGACTGAAACGTGCTTGTTTGGATGCTTGGATCTTGGATCCAATGCAGTGCTTGGATCTTATTTATTGGGAAAATCTTCATGTTTGGAATAACTGCTTGCACTGTACGTAAATAAAAAGCAATTCCTACAATATATGGTAATGATAAAAAGACTTGGGTTTTTTTCAGTGATGCAACAAAATCAGCTTTTGCTACAGAATTACAGCCCAAAGGGTTTCATTTGAAAGTCTCAGGTTCCTTTAGGCAAACTCCTGGGCAGAAAAGTTGATTTTAATAAATACCAAGGCAGGATGAGGGCCTGAAAGAAGATATCTGCACGTGCAGAGATTTTATTTACATTTCTTATTTTTAAATGAAATTTATTGTTATTAATTCTTGTGTCTTTATATAAATAGATACTTTAATGGTGAATCATTATAAAGAAAAAAAAAAGGGAGAGGGGCACAAAAACTAGTATTGTTAGGACTGGAAAATATGTTACTACCCCATGTTGCTTCCTGTGGGTCCGCTCCGGGATCATTTCTCCCATTAAGGTCTGAGGTCACCAAAGCAACAGGTCCACAGTCGTTGGAGTGAGTCGTAAACATGTCCTGTTAATGAGAGGACAAGCCCAGCTTCCCGGATGCACGAGAGCCACCACCAACACAGACGTGCCGCAGCCGAGATGAAGGAGCTAATCTGCTTGTAGGAACAAGCCTGGTAAAACAAACAGGTAAATAAGCACCCACTTGGGTGTGGGATAGGTTAAACTGATCGTGGAGACCTTGTGTGGCCTCTAACTTCTTGATGTGGCAACTTCAGCACTGCTGCATTTTAGTACAGCTCAAGCCATCATCCATTTAAATTACACTAAAATAAAGCAAGTTTATAAAGCACCATAGAGCTGAATGGAAAAGCACTGAAAGATTTTTTTTTTATTTTATTTTATTTTATTTTATTTTATTTTATTTTATTTTATTTTATTTTATTTTATTTTATTTTATTTTATTTATTTGCCAGCACAGATTTTTTTTTAACTTTATACTCTGTCACATATTTTTACCCTCTAGTGTCACCAAACCTTGTGATAATCCTACTACTCTTTTGGATCCAGTTCATGGAGTCATAGGAATCATACTGACACTGAGCTTCCTTTTTTAAAATAAAATTGTAGTACTTTTTGTTACATAGAAAAGTTTGAAAGCATGACCTCAGCATCAGAACATGAGAATTTATCGTTTTCTAATAGTCTATTGTTTAGGGACTGCTTAAGGATTATAATAGTTTTTCTCATACCATTGTTGTACAATGTTTCATGCTGGGAAAAAACACAAATCTTGAACAATTGTCTAGAATTATTTGTCATGTGTTGCAAATTGAGTAGCTGAAGCTTCATGAGAAGAAGGAATTAGCTCATTCTGGCTTTTCTCTTTCCGGTGTAGTTTTAGGCATGCACTTTTTAAAAAACTTTGCCAAAAACTTTTCTCTTGAAAAGCCCCATAGAACATAGGTTGCCTGACTTGAATTACAGAGCTGTAGGAGGGCAGAGCTTTCTCTCCCTATTTGAACCTGGAAAATGTAATCATATAAAGCACTCAGTGATTCAGCATAGTTTAATACTTGCATAATTAGAGATTTTTTCTTTAAATTGTGTGCTTTAAACACTGAATTAAGGTTATTTGAGCTCAGTTTTTAGACAGCAGTGAACTGAAGAAAGGAAAATATGCCTCTGTCACTGTGTGTAGATGGTAGGACAGATAATTCACTTACATACTGTTACAGACTTTGGTAAGGAAATTCATATTTGGAGATTGGAGGGCTGACACTGGTGAGTGAACATATTTGTAATACCTTGCTGCAAGCAGCCAGTGAAGGTCTGAAAACCACCCATTTGTTTTCAGGAGCATTCAAAAGCCTAGTGAGGTCTTTGTGGACCAAATTCAACCCTGCTGCAGTTCCAGCTAAGGCATTAATTTGCTTTCTGCTTGAACAAGAACAAAAATCTGATCATTGTATTGGTAGTAGCTCTTCTGAAGTAAGAAATAAAAATACAGCTAAGGGGAAAAATCATAGATATAATTCACTGATTTCCTATGAACAGACATTTTGACCCACTTGACTATGAGGATAAAAAACTTTAAACCTGCCAGAAGTTAAGACACCTCCACAGAGGATGCAATGAGAAGCTCTTCTCAGAAGCTTCATCTTTTTGTTTCTCTTAGAATTACATAGTTATTAAAAATTATTTAAATACAGAGTTATTCCAAACATTTTAGACATTTTATTTCCCATTTATTTTTAATATATCTTTTCATTAATTGAAACATCACAGTATGGGACTTCCCAAAAGTTACTGGTAAACTTTAAATGCTCTAACTCACATTTTATTCTGCATGTTGTGCTATACAACACATGAGCAATATAAACACATCATCATATGTTGACTATCCTTTGTGGTATAAAATTCCTTTGTCTTTGAATAAGAACAAGCAGTTAGTAAAACAAAGAGATGAAAAGCCCTTTAACATTTTTTCTTCTGAATTTTAGGCAACCAAATATATCCAAATGAGTTTACACATTTAGGAACTCAAAATTGTATGCAACTTAGCTTTAATTTTTTAGAAATATTTTGATTAGTTAAAACAAAATATAACTTCTTAAATTATTGATTTATCAAATAATGTAGTCTAATACAAACCTCTGTACATTTGCAAAAATGATTTCAGCCTGTGTAGCAAAGTGCTATGACTTCTGTTTTTTAACAATACAACAGTTGCAGTTTCCCAGAAAATCAGATGATGCATTTCCGAAAGCTGATGCTTAAGGTAGAATAATTTCCTGAAAAAAGATTTTGTCATCCTGCTTTCAGGATCTGAAGTAAAAACTATTTAAAGCAGTCATCTAAGAAAGCAAGCAAAGAGACGAAGCAGTAGTCAGTTATAACAGCATTAAGATTGTAAATGTATGATGTGATATGTGAGGTGAATTTACGAGGATAAATGCAACAGTGGTGTGAATGGATTAAATAGGCACTTAGATAAATGACTTCTTGTTTAATTAACTATCCCCTTCCAGCTGTGTGTGCATTTAGACAGTATGGTGAGCAGCGCTCCCTCTCTTGCTGGCTCCAGCGAATTAAGGTCAGCATTACATCAATGCTGGGGAAAATTCTGGGAAGTTTTGTCATAGACAGGACTCAACAAACAAATAAGGAAATAATGACCTTAAAAGAATAATGTCATGATTTGTTTTTCTTTTTTCCTCTGATCATTCTAACCCATGAAGGGCCAGCAAGTTTGCTGCTGAGCCTAACAGGGAGCAGTGGCCGAGGTGCCAGAGGGTCGTGCTGCTGTTCAAAGGGGCCTCAACAGGCTGCAGAGATGGGCACAGGGGAACTGATGAAGTTCAGTGAGGCAAGGGGGGCTCCTCCACCCAGGAAGGACTAATCCCGTGCTGCCCCCAGGGCAGGTACCTTGTCCTTTTTTCCTGCAGCCTGTGTGTGAAGCAGGTGCTCACGTGTGTCTCCATTCACTCTCTCAGCTTTAAAACTTTCCAAGGGATGTGTTGGAGGAAGGAGTAGAACAAAGTACACAGTATTTGTGTTTTTTTTTACACTCACTCAGGACTCTGCTGAATTAGCATGTGCTGCTTGCTCTCTTTCGTGATACAGAGACCAGGAACGGCGGCAGGACACGTCCCTTACTAGTTTTGTGTTGGAGCGAGTTGCCTACATACAGAGCGTGTGAGGGGGAGGGTGCTGAGTAGTGCTGCCTCAAGAGAGTTTTGCCTTGGAAAGGAAGGGGCTTCCTGAAATTCCTGCACAATCAAAGCTGCAGATCCATCACTACACCTTTCTGAGGATGCCAGATTTGCCCAAGGCCTGAGCAAAAGGAAAAACTCTGTAAGATCTCAAGCCCAAATAAAGCTGCCTCCCTGCCTGGGGACACTTCTCACGCTCAGGCAAAGCTCTGTTTCCTGTGGCTGAGCTGGCAGCGTGGCTGTCTAGTAAAGCTGCCACATACTTCAGATGACAAGACTGCAGCATTTGCCTACAGCTTTGCCTAAATTCTGCTCCTTGGGCTCAGATTTTCAAAGGCAAGCACCTTCCTCAGGATAACCTTCAATTGCTGTTATTCAGCGATTTCAGAGGATGAGAACATAGGA